ACTTTGGGACATGGTTTAGTGGGCATGGGGGTGTTGGGTTGATGGTTGGACTGATGATCTTAGAAGTCCTTTCCAACCTTAGTGATTCCTAGTTTTTACTTTCATTAAAGTAATCCAGCCACCAAGGCAGGAAACACAAAATTGCTATTCTACTCTTAATTGATTTAGTGGAGGACGTGGTAATGTTAGGTTACTGGTTGGACTGGATGATCTTAAAGGTCTTTTCCAACCTAAACGATTCCATGATTCTATGATTCTATCATCAAGTCCAACCGTGGACCTCTCCTGCTGCAGGCAAAGCTTCTCCCAACAGAAACCACCTCCCCAGTCCTCGTGCGGTGTCTGGCCGCGCTGCATCCCACCCCGGGGCCGGACCCTGCCGTGCTGCCAGCCCCGGGGGCCACTGACCTGGCAGAGGTCTGCATTCCTGGGGGCATCGCAGGACCAGGGCAGGGGGCTCTGGAAGGAGGAGCCCAGGTAGTAGAAAGCCCAGGCGATGATGACGTTGTAGTAGAGGGACACCAGGGAGCACACGATCAGCATGGCAACACCAACACCTGCACGAGGAGAGGGGCTGCCAAGGGGGTGACGCTATGCCTGCCCTCACCCCACGGACCCCCAGCATGGGTCCATGGGGCCAGAGAGGCTGCAGGAGACCTGCCCGGGGCTGGCCAGGGACTCGGGGTGCAGGCTGGGGCCTCACCAAGGGGGTATCCCAGTGCCTGTGCCCACCCCGCACCCCTTCCCGCAGCCTAGCCCCAGCGGCTGCAGGGGGGGAAGGAGCAGTGCCCCCAGCCCCACCTTTCAGGAGCGGGCAGCACTTCCAGACAGTGATGGGTCCGGTGGCCCCGTACTGGCCCAGGCTCAGTTCCATCAGGAAGAGGGGCAGCCCCGTGACGAGCAGCATGATGAAGTAGGGGATGAGGAAGACACCTGGGAGGAGAGGGGCAGCGGGTTAGGGGGATGGCCGGCACCAGTCCAGGCCCCCCAAAGGACAGACGTGCATGGTTCGGACTCGTGTCAGGGGCATGTGTCCGGGCAGGATGCAGCGGAGCAGGGAAAGCTCTGGGGGCTGCTGGCTCCATCCCAGGGGCCGTCCCCAGCAGACGAGATCCCCATGAGCCCCACAGTGGGGGCTGAGCTGGGAGCTGGTGGGATCCTGCTGGCCCTGTCTTGGGGTGGGTGCTGGGAGCAGCGCTGGGGTGCAGCCGTGGGTGCCACGATGGTGCTCAGGGCCCCGGGATGCTCAGGGCCCTGGGATGCTCAGGGCTGCAGGATGCTCAGGGCTGCGGGATGCTCAGGGCTGCGGGATGCTCAGGGTCCTGGGATGCTCAGGGTTGCGGGATGCTCAGGGTCCTGGGATGCTCAGGGTTGTAGGATGCTCAGGGCTGCGGGATGCTCAGGGCTGTGGGATGTGCCCACAGCAGATCCTGATGTTTCCTCTGGCAATACACTGACATCTCCATCTTTACACAGCTTGTCTCACCAGCAGCCTTCTCTGTGGAGGAAATCCTGCTCCTTGCAGCCTCAGCCAGGCCAAATTTGTGCTGGAAAAGGACTTTTTCCAGGAGAGAAATCGGCATTTCCCAGCTGGCAGCCAGCTGCAGCCCAAACCCATCCTCTCCCGGTGGCAAAGCTCCAGTGCTGTTCCCCACAGCGGAGCAGCGCTCCAGCCACGATGCCGTATCCGAACCCCGCTCCCCCGCAGCCGTGCTGACAGACCAGATTTGGGGCTGACTGCTCGTTAGCCCGGCACTCATTAGCACAGCGCTGGGGCGGGGGGGCCAGGCGCCCTCCGCATCTGCTGCGCACGCCAC